TTTTCCCCCCTAAAGCTCCTTTACAGCGTGTGCTCTCAGCAGTGCTGCGTGTGAGTGGGAAGAGCCCCAGCCTCCATAGCCGGGGTCTGCTCGGAAATACTCAGTGCTTGCTCTTGGTTCTGTGTGGAAAAGCCTGGACATGCTGGCCCGGGCTGGCGTGAGGAGAGTTCAGCTCCCGGCCCAGGGTGCCCCAGGGGCACTCAGCTGCCATCCACAGGATTGTGGTTGAGTGCCTTTGGGTTAGGTTCTGGTTTTATTTAATCATTTTGCTGGAGTTGAGTTTAATGGGTATGTCCAACTCCTGGTAAAGGTTTTTCAGCTGTTCAGGTTCTGATTATTCTACTGTCACTGAAAGATTGGGGGAGAAGATGCATTTCAGTTGTCTTATTATCTAAAAATCATTACTGTTTCGCTGCAGATGGCGTAAGCATGCAGGTGTTGTTGCCCTCTGGCAGGTGCTCTATTAGCTGCTTCATGAATTTAAATGACACTTAAGATACAGAACTTCGAAAACTAAAGAAGCAATTAGTAACTTTTGATTCATGTTTTAACAGATGGCTAGATTAAATCTGATTAAATCTGATCAATGTTATTTTGAGCAGATAAGGATTTTGATGAAAAAGAGTGAAGAAAAATCAATGCATGCAAAATAGCCAAATAGATTAAAAGAATAATTAACTTATTGATTAAAACTTTAGTAGTAGAAAGTGAACACCGCTGTTAGCCTGAAAAAAAATTCAGAGTAATGCACATGATTTGTTTTTAGGCAGAGTTAAAAATCTGTGCAGCTGTTTCTTGTGTGGTGTTCTGTGTGAGTTAAAGTTCAAACTATGTTTTCTGTTCTGAATAACAGTGCATCTAAATAATGTCTCATAATGGATTAATGCTTACTATTAGTTTTTTTTTTAAATTAGTTTTTCTATTTATTTCAGTCTCTTCCTCCTGTTTTTGACAAATGATTCTTTTCTACAGATCAGCCATGTCCTGGGGAAACATTTTCTTAAAATAAAGTAATCTGGAAACACAGACACTGGAAAAAGATGAAGCTTTAGTTGAAACTATTTTAACTAAACCTTCCCATTTTCTTTATGGCTTTAAAAACACCTTTGTTTAATGTGATTGTTTTTTTCCTATAGGATTTTGTCAGAAGAAGAAAACAAAGTAGTTTTACTTTGGGCTTTGTTCAACAAATGAAATTGGGGGGTAACACTTTAAATGAAGAAGTTTGCCAGGAAAATGTGAATGTGCTCTCTAGAGATGCTTACAGGGGAAGCAGAATTGCGTCTGTCTTCCCCTGATCTTACCACACAACTTCCTAGAGGTGTTGGTCATTCTGGGCTGTCATTTTGATAAGTGGCATTCACTGTCTTGCTTTTATGTGTAGTGGGTAAGAGTTGCATTGCTTTGCTTGTACTATTCAAAACACTGAGATTGTTTTGAAAATACCTTAAAAATGGTTAAAAAATTGTAATATCTATTACTTTCTCTCTTTTGTTGAAGCGTCTTTGTTATTGCTGTAGAAGCTATTGAGGTCTGTGTAGGACCGTCAGTTTTTAATCTGGCCTCAGAAGGGATACAGTCAGCAGTGCTTTGGTTTAGGAATGCTTTGGTTACTTGCATAAGTGCCACAGCTTCACCTCTATTAATATTAATGCACTTTACTGCATGGTTTTGTCTTGAAGGCTGGTGGAGTTGCTGGCGTCTGTGTTGACTTGATTCTTTTTCCTCTGGATACTGTAAAAACAAGACTGCAGAGTCCTCAAGGATTTAAGAAGGCTGGTGGCTTTCGTGGCATCTATGCTGGTGTTCCTTCCACTGCTATAGGATCCTTTCCAAATGGTAAATTTTCTTTGGATTGTGCTTTGTCTTAAAAGTGGGAACTTATGTAGTATAGGGCGTTCATGTCCCTGGCTTCCTCTCCTGCAGGTGACTGTTTGGATTCTGAGAGTCCATGTCCAGATGTGAAGAGCAGGTTCTAGAATTGTACAGTATTGAACAAACTCTTTGAGCAAGCCTGGAATGAAGGCTGCTGCATGTTTACTCTGAAAAGTAACCCTTACTCCTTGGAAGTGTTCCTGAATACATACATCTTGTGAGCCTGTCCTTACTTATAGGGGCACCCTAAAGCACTTTCAGGTGCCAAACAGGGCTTGAGTCTTGCTTGCCCTGGACACTTCTGTCATGACCCACTCCGTGACCCATTCTTTCACAGCATTGGAAATGAATCAAAATTCAAAGTGCTTGAGCACTGGAGGTCTTTGAGCTAATTGCCTTGGGGATGGTATGCCCCTCTTTTTCTCCCTGGAAACAACTACAATACTTAAAATGAGAAGACATCAGGACTACTTTTGAAACTGAAACTTTAAAAAAGTAAATGCTTGTAGTCTCTGCAGAGAAAAGGCATCTAAAATTCCTAATGCCTTTGTCCATTTTGTCTTTGTAGGGAAGGATAAAAAAGTAGCAAGCTATGCTGTCAGTAGTAAGTGTTAGGAGAACTTTGCTGACAAATCCACTGACACCTTCAGGTGTTTGATGTCCTTCATAAGATGATATAAAAGAAATGCAGTTCTTTATCTTGTCTGCTCTGTTATCTCCTTTTGAGCTGATAAGCATCTTTTGATTACCAGAAAGCAATTCATGTACCCCTTCTTTACAATTAAAATCTGTTCCCCTGCAAGACATGTCAGTTTTTTCAGGATTTACATCTTCAAAATCTGAACTGTGGTTTTATCTTTCCAGCATATGACTGAGAACAGAAATTATCTTTCGGAGAAGGGGTAACCCTTAAGGTGCAAATGCCTTTGTAGTTGACTGTTGCAGTGAATAAACACAGCTTATGTTGCTGTGCTCAGTTTAGTTTTGTATGTTTCTTGTTTACTGGACAGCACTTTTATGAGCCCTTCAGCAGCTTGGAAGAATTTTTTTCTGGAGTTGAAGTGCAAGATATTAAACTGACCATAGCTAGGAAGAACTTTTTATTAGTAACTACTACTGAAAGTGTTTTGAACATTGCAGGGTAGCAGACTTATATCAAGTACCTTGATGATTTTTTTTTTTTTAGTTAGTCAACTGATTTGTATTTGGTTTGGGGTTTTAGTTTGCGTGTGTTGTGTTTTTTTTTTTTCTTTTTTTTTTCAAAAAAATAAAGACCATCCATCCAGTCCAACCAAACAACCTCCTCTCTACCCTTCCTATCTATGAATATGGAAGATACCATTTTTTCAAAACCTACTGGATGTTCGTGGCTAATTAACACATCTTTCCTTATCTCAGTACTGAATATGGCCTTAAGTCCTGGCACCTTTGATATTAATGTCAGGCTTGGCAGTGATAGCCAGGAGCATGAACTTCTGAAGGAATTATCTGACAGATGGTGTTGATACTGTTGTACTGTTTGGGGGTAAAAATACCCTGGTTTCAATGACACCTCTAGAATAATAGGTGACAAAATCCACCTCTAAATGTTTGTGCTTGTTCTGTGACGGAGGAACAGTTAAATGACTGCATGTGTTCTTGAATTTCAGCTGCTGCATTTTTTATCACCTATGAGAATGTGAAATCTGTGCTTCACCATGGCTCTACAGCTTACTTGACTCCAGCAACACACATGGTGGCTGCCTCCCTTGGGGAAGTGGTAAGAATAAAGTTCATATATTGTGTGTCTGTGGGAGGAGAGACTTGGTTTTGGTGTCATATCTTAGTTTTTGGAGTGTTGACCATCTTTGTACTTGTGACAGTTCTTACAGAAATATTATTTTTTAATGAAATGTTGACTCCTGTCAGAATTCTTTCAAAGTGAGTTCCTGAGTTAGTAACAATTCTTAGTAGGCCTATTGTCTGAGCTTGCTAAGTCAGTAGATAGTGAAAGTGTGCATTGTTCCGAAACATGAGTACACCTTCACATTGTAGTGGTTGTGTGTCACTGTTAACATTCAAAAACAGCTTTTACAGCCTTTCAGCTTCAGGTGGGGTACTCATGGAAAGGATTTTTATTTTAAAAGCAGCCATAAGACGATGTTATCTGTAAAGTAGGTAGGTGCCATCATCTGAAACCCAAGGACCTTGGTGTGTAAGCACCAGTATTAACTAATTAATATTTGTCTCCCTCCTCTTCCTGCCATGCATTCACATTCAGCCAACACTGTTTACCACAGTATAGTTTGTTATATTGATGAAAAGACTTTCTTGTATTTATAAGCAGACTCTTCTAGTGGATGTAAAAAGTGATGTGACAGAATAGGGCAAGTGGCAGCGGTGTAAGTTCACTTACATGAATGTGTAATGCTTTCTGCCAAAGCCTGTCTCAGTGGAAAGTGTCATGGGTAACATAATGAAGCTCTTTCCTTTGGGAGAGACACCTGCATGTTTTAGTGGCAGATTTTTGCATGGTCTCTCTGATAGCTATAGTGGTTACGGGCAGGAGTAGATAGCAGGTGATAGATTTAGGGCTGGGTGGGTTATGTTTGTGTTGCTGCCTCAGGTGGATTCTTTTTGATCTTAATTAGAGCCTGTGCTGTCAGGTTATGACTTCTAACTTAAGGCAATGCACAGAACTTATTTCCATGGAAATTCTGTAAAGGCTGTTAGAAATCAGCAAGAGGTTCTTCACCACTATGGCAATGCATAGCCCTAAAATTCCTTGTTTGCTTGGTGTCTTATGGAAGAGCAGATCCAAGAGGTGTTTTAAGCTTCTCAAGGGCTGTTTCAGAATCAAGCAAAATGATGAGTGGGCTCATGAAGAGGTGGCAGTGCTCTGCAATAAAATCTATTGGAAAAAGAAGTATAATCTTTCGCGAGTGGGTTATTTGTAGTATACTTCCTCTGCCTGTGAGGATTCTGTGAGAAGACTATAACCAGGTAATTTAACCATCAGCAGCCAAAGATCAACGGACTACAGATGACTCGTTGCATGATGATGAAACCTGTTACCTGTATTTTTGAAGGTGGTATGCAGTCTTGTGACTCTTACAACTCAGGCACTTGCTGCTTTCATTTTCAGGCTGACAAACGGAGATACAGCATAGTTAAATGAGTTGCTCAGGGCTGGCTCACATGCTTGGTTCTTGCTACTCTAAGGCCATAGAAATATATAGTGTTAGCCACTGAAATGGCAATCTGACTTTATGGTATGAAAACTGTGATGTTGTAACAGCTGTCTTTCAGCTAATAAGATTCTGCTTTTTGCTAGCTTTTCTTCTCCTCTTGATGGGATGGGAGAACTAAGCTATAAAATAATTGAGGTAGGGATTTAGAGATTTGCTACAAAAAACCTGTAATAAAAATAGCACAAAGCCAGATCTTTTCACATTTGTTTTATATAAAGTCTTAGCTGATCAATAGAGATCTTTAAACTATTCCAAATTGCATCAAGGTGAAAGTTGTAATTATAGTTTTATAGATTAGTCATTAGGTTTTAATCAGGGCATAACCACTGGGACTATTATTTTGTTAGTATTTTTTTTAATACTTTTCCTCCTTTGTACACTTGAATAATTACCATGATATAAATTGCTTTTAAATGTGAAATAATAAGCCAAAGATTGTCATGTTAGGATTCCCAAGGCATGTCTTTGCATTTACAAGCTGTCTTTTTACAAAACTGAGAAATTAAGATGTGAGCAAGAAACTAGTGTTAGATTTCTAGGTTTGCTGCTCCTTCACTGGTGAGCATAAATGAGTCACCTACCTTCTTGTGCATCAATAAAATGTGAGTATGTGCTAAGCTTAAAGGTATATTAATGCTGACCAATTTGTGTTTTGCATGTGACCCATTAAAAACAATAAAATAGGTAAGGAGGAAAAAATGCAAGTGTTGCATCAAGAAATGTTAAAATATATGGGAGGAACCAGTTAAATGGAAGCTCTTAGTTTTTATAACAGCCGCTCTTCTGTATTGTTTACAGCCTATGTAAATTCATGGGAAACAGTCCCCTGAAACTGGTTTGGTCCAATTTCCCAGTTCTAAGCTAGGAGGCACAAAACCAAGCAGTAAAAAGGCTGTGGCTGTAGCTTTTTTTTTTTCCCTTTTAGGCAAGAGGAGTACAGAAGGCTAATCTCATCTCCTGGGTGAGATAAAGAAAAGTACACACAAAATCTGACCCTGTTAAACATAATTATTTTTTCCTATAACTGAATCTTGCTGTATAGGGACTCTGAGTATCCCATAATATATGAAAAATGACTTACAAAGACACAGCCAAAACTCTAGAGGGCAGATGTATGGTATATCATCTCATCAAGGAAGACTGAAGGTTGAAGAATACATGAGTTATCAAGGAGGGTAAAACCCTTATTATACCACTTGTGTAACCATGAAATTTGGAGATGGGAAACATGCTTACTGTATCCAGGGCTTTGGAATTTTTCGTCTTGACTCGACATTGCCCTGTATGTTTAGTCTGCCTGTATCTTTAGAGTGAGCTGCCAAGTGTGCTTGGAAAACATGATATCATAGGGAGTGGAAAGGAAAACCAGATGTTCTAAAATTTTACTTTTAATATTCTAAGGCGGTGTAACTCACTCTGAGAAGGAACAATATTTTTAACCTCCTAGTGCCCATTTTAAATAGTAACCGAGCGCATCTTGCAGCTCCAGATTGATTTGTACAGATTTTGTTATGTCAGCTTAATATGTCAGTGTATACTATTAATTAAAATAAACTTTGATAAAGAGAAATCCCCCTTTGGGCCTCCCCCACCAGCCTCCTGCAAACAGGGTTTTATGGGTCAAGTTTAAGACTGTCCCAGTTTGACCAATGAAGTTTCCTTTATGAGTGCCAAAGTGGTTGGATTCAGCACAGTTAATTTTACATCCTGCTGGCTTTTCCGTGGAGGTGAGAATAAAGTCATTTGGATCACATTCTAGAGAAGCTAGCTGACAGCAACCTTTTCCATCTAATATTTAGATATTGTTATGGTTACGATCTGAGCTTTGCAAGATATTTAGTGAAAGTTGTGGGCTGCTGCTTATAAATACCATCTTTCTGACCTTTTATTTTGTTTTTGATTGGCTATTTTTGTAAGAAGGCAAGCTACCTGACTTTGAGCTCACTTGTGAGATAAAGTGTGGGGGAAGACTGAGGACCAGGATGGGAGGTAGATGTCCTTTCTTTAGGCAGCTGGTGGCAACAACTGTGCTCTGGAAGTAAACTACCAGCTGAAGTTACTGAGCTGCTTTTGTCCTGGTGTCAGTTTCCAGAGTACTTTAGGATTACAGTGCTGGAGTTGTGTTGACACGGTGCAGTGCATCCCCAGGGCTGCAAGATCCCAGGTTTCTTGCAATTAAGTGATGTGTCTACACAGTATGCCATAGCACCAGACACAGAGGGTAACTAAAATCCTGAAAGCTGCCTAGTCATGTTGGTGACACTGTGCCTGCATTTGTTTGTCCTGTTCAATTTTAACTTTAGGTTCCTCATCTGACTTGTTTTCATCCTACTTCACGGGCTCTGCACTGTGGTCCCTTGAGTTGTATAAATGCTGGACAAGCTCACAGATCTAGAAAGGTGTTTCTGGTCTTGCAGCAAGAATGCTAAAACTCAGGCTACCTACTAGGCTATGGTGGAATATGAAACTCGTAGGTAAAGATTAAAACCTTTGCTGTGTTCTTCTGAGCCAGCTCTGAATGGTTAGCTCCCTTTGAAGGTGATAGGCTTGGCTGTCCTCAGGAAGAAGGATTTTGGCATAGCCTCACACTTTCTTCCAAAATTTGAGAAAGGAGGGATGCTGAATGAATCTGAATTGAAATGTCCAAAAGTTTGTCGCTTCACTAGGGAGGTGAGGATGAGAATGGCTGGCTTGTCAGACTTCACATAAGCTAAACCAAGTAGCAGGGAAAACATGCTCAAGAGAGCAACAGCTAAACCATGGAAATGCAGTTGGACATTAATTTCACTGCCTCATCTTGGCTTAAATAAGTAGGTGGGTGGTGTGACATTGTCACCTCTTGCAGCCTCCGCGGGGCAAGGTGAGGACAGGTATTTCAAGGTGAAAATCTGTGCTCACTTGTGTATGCCAGTTTGTTGCCACTTCAGATACTTTTGTGATAAGAGCAAAGTGTGTGGTTCATCTGTGATTAGCATCTGACCCTTAGTGTAAATAACTTGGGAATTTTTTAATCTGCTGTTGGGATGTGTGAAATAGAAAAGCTTCTTAATGCAGGAATTGTCTTTGTGGAGAATTCAGATAGCTTTCTCTACTAGTCCTAGCTTGTTTCTTAGAAGATGCCAGCCCAAATGCAAGTTTACAGTTTACAAATCATGATTCTGTAGAATGACATTTTGAGTGTGCTTTTAATTCATATAAAGAAGGAAAGTGCATGTTTTACCTTATTTTAGGCTTTTTTTTTTTCTTTGGGGCGGGAGGGGGGGAAGGCATTTTAGACATGATAAACAATGTCGTGTTGCCTGTCTCTCTCTGTCCATGAATCAGCCCCTTCTTCTTCCCTCTGCTCTGGCAGTATCTTTTGAAACAGTTAACTAGTTTCAGTTTAATAGAAGAAGAGCAATCTCCAAAAGTGTGTTGGTATGAATTCCATGAGAGTAACTTGCTAGGTCAGAGGAGAAAGTTGCTATTGATGCCTGTTCTGAGGAAAAGGCAGAAGCATGAGTCAGACAAATCCACAGAGTAATATGAA